TGAATGAATAAACTTAACGTGTTTGATCTCACTTTACATGGCACTTTGATTGGTAATCGGAAATACCGAAGATTCCACGTTACTTGTTCATACTCGTCCTGCCATCAATTTTAAATGGGACATAAAGCGCCTTCAGAATTGTGGATATGCAATTAACGCTAGTTCAAAAAATAGAATGCATAGCTCTCTATTTGAAGGAGTAAAAACAAAGTGGGACGTTCAGTTGGAAGTGAACGGCCGGCGCGGCGGGCGAAGCAATGCGTTTACAATTTCAAGATATTTGAAATGTCTTCTACTTTAATGACTCTTTTATCTCATTTTTTTCTTCTTTTTCACACCCAGGAATTTTTAAAGTGAATATGCTATATTTAAGATTGTATATCCATGAAAAAGTAATGAATTTTATTCGTGTCTTGAGCATAAGAATACTTGAATTACCGGACATTTAGGAAGAGAATCATCTGTTCGTAGCATTGAACATTGGCAGAGTGAGCACACATAAGATGTATGATGAACGTGAGTAAAATCATACGAGTATGTAATCGGTACCTAGTTTTTTAAGGAAGTAAGCAAAATGTTCCACAGTAATCAATTGAACAACTTACGTTCATTATGAACCAATTATAAAATGCATATATGGACGACATTTTGCAATTTAGAACTATAAATTCTGGCTCTTCTGGAAAAACACATATGTGCATAGGCAAACTAATGGCACATACGTTGTTTTCAAACCGGGCCAGAATGTATAGTTCCAAATTGCAAAATGTAGTCCATATGAGAACTGGCAACTTAGAAGAGCTATTTTCGTATGGTATTCTGCTGATGACTGAATTTGTAGTTGATTTATATAGGTATAAATATTACATCAGCAGGTAGTGGGAGCCTGGGAGGTAGGCAGGTGGGTTGAGTATTGTAGAATCAATAGCACTCACTTACAATTAACCAGATATGCCCAAAAATTAGAGTTTCAAGGCAGATTAGATAAAATGATACAGGCTGCTCAAAAGTCGAAATCACACATTAAAAACTTGCATTACGTCAGAAATTAATGATGCACGATTTACACTGCTCATCATCTTTTTTCAGGATTTGGCAAGGCAGCCTGCTCCCTTCGATAAATATTTAATTTTATTTACATGCAAATATGCAAAATTCGACCTTACCAACTTCCGAAAATTGCGCCTATCGTTTTGTCTTAGGCTACGATATTTTTGTGTATTTTACCTTGTAAACCCATCGTAATATTATCGTTTATTTGACTCAGTAATTAAGGTTCGAAATACTTCTCTCCAATCGTCTCTTTGCTATAAAATTTTGTATACAAGAATACCCGCTGGCCAGTATTTTCAAAGAGAAAAAGTCATAAGATTAAAGGGGAGAGGGTGCGCAGATATTTTGAAGTGAGCGAAAAACTTCTTGAGTATTTATGATTCGATGATTCGCCTGACACTGTGTTATCTTCAAGATATTAAGAGACAATGTCTACCCCTGCTGCACAGGAAAGCCGAAAAACCAAGCGAGGACGCTACTTCAATATTAAGCTTCCATCGCCTTGCCAAGGCGCAGGGATACAACTATTTGAACTCTCCGGAACGCGTGAGCTATGACGCCTACAATCCTGGCTTTTGCGCCCTTAAACTACGGCCTGAACCGTCGAAACTGTAGTAGCGGCGCAGGAAAACCGAAAAAAAAACGCGAGGACGCTACTTCAATATTAAACTTCCATCGCCTTGCTAAGGCGCAGGGATACAACTATTTGAACTCTCCGGAACGCGTGAGGTAGCACGCCTCATTTGAAGGCGTTTTTAAATCTTCTGTATTTACATGACGAGATTTTCCAAATTTTTTTGCATTATATTGTAGATTTGAGTTCCGTTTTTTATTTATTTAAATTACTCCTGCTCCTTAATTTTGAATTATTCTGCAAAAACTATCCACTTACGAAATACAACCCTGGCTTTAGCGCCCTTATACTACGGCCTTAACGGTCAAAACTGCAGTAGCGGCAACCCCTGTCACAAGTTGATCCGTATTATTGCTATGATTCCAGTGAAATCATTGTGCGTTTCTAGGATATTTATGACGTCTATGAACTTTGTTACCAAAATCTTAGAACGAAAGTCTTTATAATTCAGTTAACTCTCGGATACGTCATTGATTTGTCAAACTATTAAGATGAAAAAGATATTCACGGCATTGCATTAAACATGAGTTGTGCAAAATTAAATGGGAATTGAGTCAATGAAAAATGATAGAATAAGTCGTTACCTTACATGTTTGTAGTGGCGTGGCGTGCTTTGCGATGTGACGATTGATCTGACATTTAAACCTACGGAAAAGGACCGAACACCGCAACGAACACCTAAATGATCGATTCTTTACCATGGCTTCAAATGGGGAAACATTGACAATCTATCATTTACGCCTCGCAACTGAATTGCTTAACGTGAACAGGAAAAAATTCAAAAGAGGTGGTGGCCGTGTAACAGGAGAGATAATAGTATGAAGTGTGGCCTAACCATGATATTGCAGGAAATAGTTAGCTGTGAATGAAGCGTTGGGCACTTTCTAAGCTACTTGTTAAAGTGACAATATTATGCACGTGAAATGAAAGTTCCTTGGAATCAGCATCTTAGCCAAAAAAGCTGCCTGTCGGTATTTAAACGTGGAGAATCACTCCCTACACATTTTGAGACAAAAAACACCCAAAAATGTAGGCATTTAAAGGCTGCCGTTCAGAAACCATTCTCTCGAGAGGACCTCTCTTAGAATTGGACGAATTTCTACCAAATGTGCATTACAGTGTGAGCCCTGTTATGCATAATTTTTATGGGTCTTGGGGCTCATGACTGAATGCACATAGTTCTGTTTGGCCGAAATACGTCCAACTCTGATATCTACCGTGCATGGTATTGAAACTTTCAGATCATAAGCGAAACTACGCCGTCGCCGTGTATTGGCGTAAAAATTCTTTGACAAGCTATACTCTTAAAATCTATTCTTTTGACCAAACTTCATCATTTTTTTCTTGTCAAAAATTGATTTCCTGAAAATTTCCTGTAAGGAATCCACACTTAGTTTCAGTCCTTTTCTCCATAGATTGTCACATATGTGACGTTCCACGACTATCGAAAGCCTAATTCTGAACCACCTATGTCCATATAGGATGCCATGGACTTCCTACCATACTTAATTTTTTCCTAGGAAAACTAGTAGAGATAAGATCTCAGAAACTTCTTTGCTTTTTTTTTTCTATCGGCAGAATACTCGGTTTAAATTTTAAGCTGTAAAGTTGACTTCATTCTTTTTGAAAAAGCAAAATTGGAACAAAAATTTAGAAACATCGGAATGGAGATACGTAATTTTGCACTTTGTCTAACCATTTCGAAGACTATGGTATGGACAATAAAGTCTGCATATTCTTAAGTCTGAATTTTTGAATAAAAAATTGCAGCTATCGTTGCAGTGTAAAAAGATGAAGAATTGTGCTGTCACAATGTCTTAAAGCCTCTCTTTTTCTTCTTATTATGAAAATTTTAATTAAATCTGGTCAGTTCCTTTCGATCAATCATGCCCATTTCAAATAATAAGTCAGTGGAACAAAAGGAATAGGTAAATACGTTCAACCCACGTAGCCTATTATTTAACACCGTGTACCTCCTGAAAATCATGTTGGGCTCATCAAAAATATCTAAAATTCACTCCTCAACGCACAAACTGCGCAATCTTCAAAATCCCATCTATTTTCCATAATTGACTACTGAAGGGCGAAACCACGTATATTTAATTTGCGACGTTGCAGACTTCCTATTATACCTTGTTTTTTCCTCGAAAAACTAGTCAACGAATTTTTTCGGAAACGTTTTTGATGTTTCTTCTGTTTTTTTTTTTTTTTTTTTTTTTTTTTTTTTTTTTTTTTTTTTTCCTAGTTAATTTGGCTTGTTTATTTGGGCATAACATTGGAGATTTTATACGCGATCACACACTGCAACGGAGATAGGTGGTTTCGCACTTCGGCCATCGATATCAAAAAGTGTTTTGGATACTTACCGTATCATGAAGAACGTCGTCTGTGTTGAATATCAGTGCTCTCTTTATGCCAAATATCATTGATGAAACTAAGAACAACTAATCACCGAGACCCATTATCTTGAAATCTCATTTCTCTAGAATGTTTAATCATTTTTTCAGAGCTGAAATCTTATCAATTTCTGCAGTTCAACTCAGAAAAATGGACTGTCACCAAATAGTTCTTCATACATATTTTTGAATATTTGTTTTTGAAGCTTTAAGAATTTTACATAAATTTGGCAACGTTGTACGTGCGGGCAATACCTGATCCCATAAGCCTGCAGCTTTAGGCATTTGAATTTTATTAAAACTAATTAATCTAATTGTAAACTCATTTGAAGAACTGTTGAAAACTACACGTTAAAGTTAATCAGTTATGTCTGTTCCGAGGATTTTTTATGAACTTTTTTTTATTTATTTATTTTTTTGGTTCCTTGCCTAACACACTTCAGCCTGAAAGTTCAAATAAAATTGGAACTTCAAATCATCGAAAAGATAGCTATTCAGGTGTACTTTCTCTTCAAAAACAAGGATGTTATCGTATTTTCGGAAAGATAACACTGAGGGCAATAAAGAACTGCCGCATTAGGTTCAACAATTTGTCGCTTCCCTCGCGAAAAATCGTAACTACAGTTTAATGCTGTCAAATTTCTCCGCGCAACTTACATCTCTAACCAGGAGATTTTTTGCAATTTCTAACTGAACACAACAGTGTTTTCTCTTCTAATTGCATGCAAAAATCAGACAGATTTTGGACAAAAATTGCGCGGATGCATTAATGTTAAAAATTGAACTGTTTGGGTCAATTTGGCAACATCTGAGTGGAGTTACGTTTCTTCGTCCGGAAAATGACGAATTTTCAGTCTTCAATATTTTTAAAATCAGACTTAGACTGGCGGAAGGTTACTAAAAGAGTCGCTTACATGGACAAAATTAACTTTTATTCTTGAATGCAAAAATACATATTTGGAAAAAAATTACTGTTAATACTTCAATATACCTTAAGGTAAAAAATTCTTTAGAGGGGATAAATGTTGCAAAAAGACATTCCCGGAGTAAAAATAAACTTTTAAACATGGAATACGTTTAGTTATTACAACATAATCGGTAAAAACACAATTTTGAAAACATTCCGCATATTTTTAGGACAAAAACTCCTAAAATAAGCACTCATAATATAAAATGTGCTGAGATTGTAAGTTTTAAAAATAGAAAAAAGGGGGAAAAAACACCGGTGAGGCGAAGTAGTTCCAGCTGGAGCTTATTGCTTTCCGTTGCTCGGTGGGTTGTAGTTGGCGGCCCCGGTGTTGGGGTTAGCATAGTACGTGGAGCCATTTGGGTTACTGTAATAGTAGGACCCATTTGTGTTACTGTAATGGTAGGAGTTGGGGTTTGGCGCTGATGAGCCATAGTCGCGACTGCAGTAGTGGTTACCCTGAGAGTTGGTTCCAGATGAGCGGTAGGAGTAACCTCCGTTGCCACCTTGACTTCCGTTTCCTTGGGGCATTTTCTGAAAGGCAAAAGTTGAAAGAGTGAATAACTTTTTCTCACGAGTTCTAAATCGCACTATCTTGGCAACAAATCAAAAGCAACGAAGGATATTCCTTTTTTGACTCGTTTAAGCACGATTAATTGGCTAACATTTTGCAATTAGGAACTAAAATATCTGGCTCACCGGTAAAAACACTCATGTACATGGGGAAAATAAAGGTATACACGTTGTTTTTAAACTGAGACAGAAATTGTATACTTCCTAATTTTAAAATGAAGTCCAATTCTTTTTTAAGACGAGGCTCTTCAATTCGATGGTGATCGCAACTTGCTGAAATTTTCTCCAGGAAAATTCTCTTCAGCGCAGCCTCTATGGAGATTTTCTTTTGACTTTCAGTTCGATAAAATTTTCTAGATGAATGTATAGTTGGATTAGGAGCCTATTAAACGTTTTTAAGGAGCTGAATGGTTGCACAGTGGTAGTGCAGTGCAAAAACTTTCACGCTCGCGTGAAAAATTCGGAAGGTCAGCTTGATAGTTAAGGCTTTGAGATGGCGTGTTTCTTCAAAAATCACGGAGAGTTTGTTTTACATAGAAATGCGGACGAAAATTCGCGTTTTTTTTCCTTTTGGTAGAACTGCGGTAAAATTCGCGTTTTATTTTTTGCGAAATCACGACAATTTTTGAATCAAAAACAAAAAGAGGCTATTAAGAAGCTAAAAATTCTGGGTCAGGGAAGGGACTTTTAAAATGGGAGGACAAGTTTGACTACTGGGAAGGCTAGGCACTTTCTGCACTCTTGGTATATACCTTAGAAAAGACTTTTCGCCTTGATCGAAAAGCAAGATGAAATATTACAATTATTGTGTAGTGAAGAATGCTGAGTAAATTTGGGATACATTTTCAAGCTTCCGGAGAGAGGAATTTGGTACTGAAAATACGTGTAAGAATTGACACAGCCAAAATGCTGGGATAAACGTAAAGGTGCGCGTTCAAAAAGCGCCTTCATATCCGCTGAATACCACCGAACACTTCGGAACACGATTAGTTGCCTATCTCACCGTCTAATAGTTAAAGAAGGGAATCAGTCATTGCATCGCTACGACGCTACGAGGTGATCCCTCCTCCACGCTCTGCCTCTACTTTATCCATTTTTTGGACATCTCTTCATTTTGAAAAAAATTGGCAGTTGTAGAAACCATTTTGGCAAAAAAATTCTGGAGTCAACAGATTCGTCAAAAAACGAGTAAAATGCAAATCGAGATTTTTAGATGTGCTACGGAACAAGGACCAAAATTTTGAAATCCCACCAGCTATCGAAATTTATAGAAAAATCGATTGATCTATGTTGGATATCGTCGCCTTCCGAACACAGTATCACAAGTGCCATGCGATGTTTCCACATTTCCGCCGCAATTCTGTTTTATACAGAGAAATGGTTGGTTGAATCTGGATTTTCGGAAATTTCACTGAATTTTATCGGCAGAACAAAGAAAATTCACTGAAATTTTCGGACAGCTTCAGTGAACAATATCTCTGTGGAAAAATAAAATGGCGGCGGAAATTTGTAAACGTCGCATTGCGCTTGAGATACTTTGGTCGCAAGGTGACGATATAGTCATTTCATTCGCATGTCACAATTTTTTTTTAAAAAGAAAAAAGAAAGCAAACGGGCCATCTATAATCCGCAGTCCCTTTGCAACAAGATATTTTTAAACCGAATATAAATCTCTATATATTTCGGCAATATTACTGCGAAGACAAGAATATTACGGACATGATTTTCTACTTGTAGAGTTCATTTTTGAACCTAGTGTCTGTCGATAATGAGCCCAATCCCACGTACCTTAGTCGTGGAGTTGAGCGCAAATCGCCGGAGACGATCTCGATAAAAAAATGGCGAACACCGATCGAATTTACCTCACGCATAAATAATCACTGTCAATGTTATCCCAAGCTCCGTCGTGGGTCACTTGTAAGATGAAGTAACACTTAATTGTCAGATAATTTTAATCCGCCTTTTTATTATAAACGAAATACTCTACTACTGCCGTGCTAAGGAAGAACGCCGTATGAACATTCGAGGGTTGTCAAAGTTCCTTCGATAAAACGTTTATTTATGCGGAAAGTTATGAATGTTTTCCCTCGACATTTTTAGGAACTTCAGGTGAAATTGCGAGCAAAAGTACCGGAAAAATGGGAAGGAAAATATTCATAAATTTACCAGGAAATTCGTGTTTTATAAATGAAAATTTGGCAACGCCTGAAGTTTCATACGGCGATTTTCCTTAACACGGCAGACTAAATCCATCTCAAGAAATCAACGGCAAAACTCCCAAAACCACGTGCCTCGTTTAAGGTATTTTGAAATCTCCGCCTCTGGTTTTTTTTTTTTTTTTTTTTTTTTTTTTTTTTTTTTTTTTAAAGGAGAACTAGTCAGCATTATTACTTGAAGTTCTTTCAGAATTTGCTTCGCACATACAGAGAGGAAAAATCATCGAAGTTCTTAAGCATTGACGTTGAGTCGTTTTCTACTAAAAATATGAAGTATAGCAAGACGTTTGCAGCGTCGCAAACCGAGACACGTGAGTTTTGCCGCCGAAATTCTCTGATACGCGCATTTATGACAATGATATCGGCATATTTTTTTTTATTTTTGCGACTTACAATTAAAGATGCCACCTCTTCGATTTAAAATCAATTGTTGAGTTTCGCTCAGCTTACTTCGAAAAAATTAGAGCCGCAAAAAGTTACATTTTTCTCAGAGGGACTTTTTCAAAAGCGAAGTCACAGTGCGGCTAAAATAAGACAGAAATGTACGGCGGATGAGGCGTATACGAATCCATCGACAGTATCGATTCGTAAAATTCATTTTTCCACACTTTTGCCGCTATTTTCTTTGACTTTGAAATGGGCTCGTTTACTTTTGACAGGAAAACATACCAAGAATCGGTGGTGGAACTGCAAAAACACGTATCTCATTTCCGGCGTTTTGACACTTTGCTTCCGTTTTAATCTAACAAAGGAGAACGAGCCAACATTTTGCTTACACTTTTCGTTGTCATGCATTGCCGCCGCTTTTTCTTTCCTCCGCGTACAATTTTTGCTAACTTTGGCAACACAGCGGATCTCCGATGATTACTCACTATCACCGTCGTCAGTTATCAGTATCGTGTCAGCGGATTGATTATTGAAATGGATTGACAAAGTGATAGACAAAGAAGACTGGAACAATTCTACTGGTTGAAACGTGTGATCGTTATAGACTAAGGGGAGAAAATGATGGACTAACTATAGGGTCTTTCGTGGGTTATTGCTGTTAGATAGTCGATTACTTAGGTACCTTTTTGTCTAATGCAACCACCCTCTTCCACCAATAGGATCGTTATATTCTCAGTCAATATTCTTTGTCTAGAGTTCCATCAATGAAGTTTGATAATCAGCCCGCGGGCATTATTGGCAGATCCAGCAATTTGGCAACACCGGATTTCCTCCATTTAAGCCTATGCTAAATAATCGATTCTTGTCAGTCACCTGCCCTTCCAAGAATCGATACATTTCCATAGGTTTAAATGGAGATAATCAGGTGTTGCCAAAATGCTGGATCCACCAATGCCGCGGGTGTAGCGAGTGGAATCTCAACAACTGATGCGATAATAGAACGATAGGGAAGCTAATGGACGAGATCAGAATCAAGTTCTGGGGCACAGTAATTGGTAATGAGTCGGTACGAGTAACCACATGCAGGCACAATATGCAATTACATGACCTTCCTAATGCACCGCTGCCTTAAAGAAGATCAATTTACCATGGTTTTAGTGCATAGTGGATTGGAGAGAGAAGGACAAACTCTTCGTTGAACTGCGGACAGCTCGTAAGAGAAAAGACGTGCGGTTGATTCTTGTTAGAGAATCAACCGTAAGTCGCAGGAAAGCGGCCCAATAGAAAACTATTGAAGGTAAGTTTGTAGTTCCTTTACACATTGACCTGAGAGAGGAAATGCTATCGCTACACCAGAATATACTACCTCTATACTTCCATCTTATTCGTTCCCGCATGGATCATAAATTTGAAGTGGTAATGACTTTTCCAAAAATATTGACAAGTTGGGGAGCTTGGAGGATAAGGCGCATAAGTGCAGTTTTTACTATTTTGAGAAATATTTGTTTAAAGTTTCAAAAATATATGGAGCCTTATGCCCAAGTAGAATTTTTCAACGTAGAAATCGCGATATTTCGAAATTAAGTTGCGATTTTTTTATCATAAAATCGCTGGGACCATCAATATCTAAGCAATTCTACTCAATCTTGCCGCATAGTTTTATGTCTATAAAATCGCGTTCAATAAAATCCTCAATTTATTACGATTTTTTTTTTCGACGATATTGCAATAAACCGCCGTCGATAAAATCGCGATTTTATTGGAAATTGATACTATAAAATTGCAATAAGTCGCAATTTTTCATCAAATAATATTCAAATAAATCGATATCGATAAAATCGCGATACACTCTCCGATCAAATCGCAATTTTTCGCGGTTGTTCCTACTCGGGGGTGCGGGCGGAAAGTTCGAAGTCACATTTTGCCGCTTAAAAATTGGATTGAACCAGTGAATTTTTCATAGACAAGATTTCAAGAATAGTTGTCGCTGAAATCACTTATACTTCTATCATTTTAAAAACTACCTCCCGGCGCCCTGTCCTCAGAGTCCTTCAATCGGTGGATTCGGAGTGCTTGGAGGACAAGGAGCGTAAGTGCAGTTTTTGAAACAGTTGAGGTATTAATGATTACAAGTAAAACTAGTCTTTAATGTATATTCTGCGAAAATTCGCTCCCAAATTAAGTTTTAGCATCAGACAGTCAGTTTGTACTTTCTTTCCGCCATGAGGAATAATAATCACTGGAAAAAAAACCACATGGGATCTCGAGTCCAGACTCTTGAAAACATTGACAAGAAAAAATACTCTTGATTCAATCGGATTTTTGCTTGAATCAAAACGAAATCCGCTTAAATTAAGAGGCTTGGTTCTTGATTTAAGCTAGATTCTGATTGAATCAAGAGTACTTTTTCTTGTCGATGTTTTCAAGAGTCTGGACTCTAGATCCAATGTGTTTTTTTTTCCAGTGAAGGATCCGTGTGGTTTCAAAACTTCGAACATGTATTTCTCGAAGTAGCAAGAACTACACTTATGCGCTTTGTCCTCCAAGCAGCTCAATTGGACGTATTTATGCAAAAAGGAACTATGTGCATGGGGTTTGCGAGGGACATAGTTCCTTTTGGCATAAATGCGTCCAATTGAGGTGAAGTCGACTGATTCATCAATGTTTAGAATCCGTCTAAAACGAGCGACACTTTTTCCCGGGAGAGAGAGTGGAGAGTGGCAAGTTCACGGGCATTCGGATAAGCTCCGGAATCAGGTAGGGTTATCACGTTTCCAACGAAGGAGGAACGTGAAATTTCAAGGCTAAAATCTACATGCAATAATAAATTAATCACGTTTCAAGTATTCGTCGCGTCCGTAGCAAATGCGATTCTCGCGAGTTGGCAGCACTGTTTTTCCCTCCACTTGAATCCGTTAAATATATCGATATTAGGCGAGACAAGCTGTCTCACCAAGGATCGATTGATTTACATACATAGAAACGGAGAAAAAACAGTGTTGCCAAATCTGAAGAATCGCCTTTGATAAAGTGTCAACACGCAAAAATTCCGAGCTGATACATGTATTAACCGCTAAGGAGAGATCTTTGATCCTTGAAATTGAGTTTTGATCAATTTTTGGTCGAATGTATCTCAAAATTGATCCAACAACGCTTTAATTTCCCAATATTTTCTCGAACCACTGCCCCCCCCCTCACTGAACCCCTTTTAGGAGCCACTGGCGAGTTCCACCGAACTCCCCTTGGTAGGGTATTTTGACTATGCCCCTCAAATCCCTCATGATAAGGCGCCCCTTTTCCGCCCCCCTCCCCCTCTGCAAAAAATTTCTGGTTCCGCCTGTGAATGGAACCGAGAATACAAATTTTAGGCGTTTTAAAACTTCAAACGCGTATAACTTTGTTTGTACTAAACTTTGAGATTTTAAAAGTGGTTTCATTGGTTTCTCTGTGAAATTTTTTCACAGAATCACCCCTTATTGTTTGAAATGTGACAAAATAAACATCAAAATTTGCAGTTATAATCAAACATTTCATGTCCGACCTCTCCATTTGACTCGATCCACTGTGCGGCGCTTCGTAAGGGTAATTCGTTCCGAATTGACGTGCAATATATGGCATCGATTCAACAGGGAATCTCGATAGATTCAGATTTTTGAACCATGAAGGAAGCTACGGCTTTTGCGCAATGGACTAAAAAATCATTATGACGAAACAAAATCATGCTTTGGAGAAATGGATAGAGGTTTTCGACTAGGTACAGGAAGAAAAAGAAAAAGAAGAGTCGCTGTCGATATACGCGATCCGATTCTCTATCGAAGGATACTTTCCTATCGTAGCCTAATCCTGTTTTCCTACCTCCAAATCTTGCAATTTTTTTACTGAAAATAATTCTATGGACCCATAGGCGGGGGCTATCGTTCGTTTTGGCTGAGAAGTCAAAATTCGTCGATCTTTTTTATTTACTCGATGCAATATATTGCACGTCAGTTTCACTAACGTCAACAATTCAGAGCCAATTACTTAAAGATAAAATTCAACAATGACAAAAAATTTTAACATTAAAATGTGATCCTTCTCAGGTTCTCAGGTGCAAGAATCTTGGTAATCGGAAATTTTTTCAGCGGAGCCCAAATCTTACTTTCTATAACAACCTCGGCTCAGTATTTAATGCGTTACGGCTTTTCCTGGTTTAAAATGAGCTAAATTAAAGTATATACAAGATAATGAGTAATGGCGGCACGTGGGATGGCTATTCCGTTGTGCTAAGGAAGAGAGCCGTAAGAGCCTTCAGACGTTGCCAAGTTTCCTCTAATAAAAACCGAATTTACCGGGACTGAGAATTTTATTTTCCAAAATTTTCAGACAATTTCGTACGTAATTTATCTGAAATTTTCAAGGAAAAACATGCATGACTGTTGTCGAAAATACATGTTTTATCAAGGGAAATTTGGCAACACTAGAATGTTCATACGGCGTTCTTCCTTAGTACGGCAGTATTGGGGGTCAGCTCGGCGAAACAAAGACCTTAGGATCAGTGGCGTGGCGTCTCTTAAGACATATCGGTTGATCTGCCATTTAAACCTATAGAAAAGAATCGAACAGGATGTCCGCGATGAACAGGGTGTCCACGACGAACACCTTTTCAATCGATTCTTTACCACAGCTTCAAATGGGGAAATATCGATAATCGATCATTTACGCATCATTCGCCAATACCCTTTTTTGGCGGGGGNTTGGGGGGGGGGGGGATGGGGGGGCTATCCGGTAAAGGGGGTTTTGACGATGCCCGCGGGAAATTTTTGAAAATCAGGTGCCTCTGGGACGCAATTTGTGGTTTGTCTCTGATTGTAAGTTAAAATCAGTAAAAAAATCATTGAAAACTGAGCCGGAGGAGGCTGCCTCCCCCCCCCCCCCCNAACTTTCCCTCATTGTATATGCGTTCCCAATATGCAAGAGCGTGATTTTTTCGAAAAACTGTCTTTTCGATTGCCCGAACCGGACAAAAATTGCCCTCCGAAAAAGTCGCCTCCAACATCGAAAGCTCCCCTTCCAACGAAGGGCCACAAACATAAAAAAAAACAATGCAATATTACCTTTCCTTTGGAAACAGTGAAAAAACAAGCGATGTGAGAGCACAGTGAAAATGTGAGGACCGCACTGTTCGGAATCTCGAGCTGGAATAACAACGGATGAGCGATACAGAGACGCAATATCAGTCTTTTCTCGTTGCCAAGGTCAGGCGCGTGGGGAGCAATCTGAACCCAGAGGCCCCGCGGACTCGCAGCGGGAAAAAGGACACCAAAATCAAAATAGCTGACGAAGTGACGAGGCTCAGAACAAGATAAAACCTGCACCGGAAGGCTCCCACTTGTAGATTTTGAATACAAAGCTGTAACGCTTCCAGCGAAACGGGAGTTAAACCTACAGGGTGAGACTGAAGTTCCGCGGCAAAAAATGAAATTTTAGAGATTTCAGCGCTTCAAAGGCCACTCATT